CCCAAACGTGTCCCCAAGTTCCTAATATGGCACAAACGTGCCCCCAAAATATTTCATCGAGGCCGTTGTCGTTCAGATAAGATTCCTTCAGCTCGGAACGATTTGAACATATCACGCGGTACGAAAGCAGACCGCTGATTCGGTTAGCGAGTGACAACGCCCACTTTTATCCGACACTCTTATTATTAGTGAAAATCACCGACGTAATATTTCGTGTGAGCCGCGAAAGCTTGGGTTCTAACGTAAATAAATATGGCAGATTTTGAAAATATACAGTGTTTGCATAACATGTAAATGTATTTACGGATTAAGATGCTGCGTCAAGCAAGATATTGAACAGTTGAGGTGCCGTAACTCTTTATTTTAACTGCGATTTAGATACAATACTATTGTTGTCAAATTCCATTGGTCCTATAGACCGTGCTTTGACGGGTACCGTATACTCAATAACAAGTGGAATTAATTAGAAACTTCCAATAATGAGTATACCAAACAGACAATATGTAGTATTTCGTTCTTCATGTTTTACCCAAATTCCACTCGAAACAATCCTATTACCTATACAAACATCAAGATTTGGTATTTCAAGCTGGTAGCATTTGCATAGGTATATGCGAAAAATTTCATCTACAGACTATTATGAATTTACAACCGTAGTTAAAAACCAGAGGCGTGCCAGAATCTTGGATAGAAATTAATCCTAGGAATTTCGAGTAAGGACATACTTTCAAATTTCCATAGCTATCGGGAGAATATGATAAATTTTCAAGCATGTCGATGGAATATTTTTACACCAGCATTTTTATTCCAATTATTCGCTCTATATAAAGATTGTCATCATTTCTAATCATGATGCTCTCCGAGACTCTGGGTTAAATGGCCAGAGATGATGTTATGTCATGTCATTAAGACGGGTAGCCCGTAATTCTGATCTACCAACAAAGAAACAGAAAGACTCAGTAGTTTGCATGAATTAAATCTTTTTAGTTGGAATACAAACCCAAACTTAAACTCGGATTATAATTCACCAGTCACAGCATGTCATAGTAATTATTATTCAGCTGATAGTTTTAAACAATTGATTAACTCCCATGAGCAAAGTAGACTATAAGTAATTGTTTTTCTATAATCTACAACAGTGTCAGAAGCCTGAGAAGAAATCTGGAACATTTTCAAACTCATCTACTAAATGAACTTGATCATGGTTTTAGCATTATCAGTATTTCAGAGACTAGAATGAATTATTTAAATATCTCCAATTTTAATACATTGATTCCAAATTATACAGTACCGTCCAACGGAAACTATATATCGAGTATCGAGTGCATGTCGCGTTCGAGCGAGAAATACTCGAGCGAGTATCAAGTATCTCGCTTCTCGAATCGTGTTACCTACCTGCTGGAGGAGTTCGGATACATTTTTTGTAGCAATCTAGAATATAGAGTAGTGGGAAAAGTTTGTAATGAATTTTTTCAGCCTCTCTTTGTCGAGATTGATTTAAGTATTATTCATGGTAACAAGCAAACCATAACATGTGCTGTGGTGTTATTTATAGACAACCTAAAATCCTAAATCCACTGAAAATTTTCAAACCTATTTTGAAGAAACTACAGAAAGATTGCTTTCAACAGGCAAGCTGTTATATCTGATGGGCGATTTCAACATAAACCTACTTGCATCTGACACATGTAAAGATGCTCAAAATTTTTTGTTTTCACTTCAAAGTCTTGGCTTAATGCCGACGATTGATAAACCAACAAGAATATATAAGAATTCAGCAACACTTATCGACAATATTTTTATCAACAATTTTGATGACAATTTGGTGAGTGGTAAATTTATTTTAAATATAGTTTCAGATATCAGTGATCACTATTATCAATTTTCTATCTCTCAATTTTCTATGCCACTTAAACAAAAAATCAAGTCCTCTAAAAGGGTAATACGAGATTATTCAAGATTCTGTGAGAAAAAATTGTTAAATGATCTCTTGGGAATTGACTGGGATGTTTTTGCCTTTGATAATGCAAAACATCTTATATTATATAAGATTGGTAAACTTCAAAACTTTGGTATATATAAGATAAATAAATATATTACTTGACTGTGATTGGTTTGTTTCACTCTGCCCGGCATGGATGTACGTTCACAGTAACATTAGAAACATTATAAATCAACACACACAGAAAAAAAAAAACATGGCGGCCACGTTACATAAAGTAAAAGTGTAGTTTGTGTGGAAATTAAGGCTTTTATCTTTTCTAAAATGGATTAAAAGAATTTATCTTAAAGGAAACTAACCGAACTTACACAGTTCAGTGAAATTGTTAAGATGTTAGTGTTGTTATAATGTAGTGTGATATAACAAAGCAAAAAAAACTCTGTCAGTGGACTATTCACTGTATCAAGGTAAGTTAAAACTACAATTGTCTCGTAAAATTTTAAAAAGAAAATGCCTGTTACAAAGCTCACAATTGCATGTTTTATCTAAATTGTACTTGAAACCATCCTATTACCTATACAAAATAAACATGTATATATAGTAAAGTACTCACCCGTTTCGGCGGTTTCGCTTGTATAGTCATATACAGGTAACATAAGTTGGATTCCTTCATTCCTTGTTTAAATTTATACTTTAAAAATGTGGAACAAGTTTCTTTCTATAAAATTTGAATTAAAGAAAAATTGAAAATAGTTTAGAATGTCTAATATGTACATAACAGTTCCATGGGATGAAGTTGCGATGAACGATTATAAATATCAATGATAACGTTTGTAAAAGATCCATCACAATATAAACAATACATATTACTCTATTACTGAAGAGATCTTCAGAGTTAATGAAGTCAGGTATAAAACTACAAAGATATATATGTATATATGAGTGAATTAACAGTGATGAGTGATATAAACTCTGACATGGTAAGAAATGTAGAGAATGGCTATGGTAATGCTATATTAAGGTTTCTACCGTACCAAGTTTGGGATTTGAACTCACGACCCTCAGTGTACACTCTGAGTGTTGTTCCTGCACGCCACCACATCTCACACAGGATATATGTTAATTTATTGTATATAATTATACAGGTTATTCTTAGCCAGCACAATTTATGATTGTGTACATACTTACAATTTTGTACACGGCCAAGGGTACAGTAGCAACTGAGCCGTATCTACTCTTATACTTACAATACTTACAATACATCATGGCATAGGTCACAGCTACCAGCCGGCGTGTTAGTTAACTGTAATACAATACTACAATGTGATACAACTGTCAGCCGAGCCTGTCGGTAGTATTATACTATAGTATACTACAATACTATACTATAGTATACTACACGGCTACCAGCCGGCAATATGCCTATCAGCCAATATTGTCTGTAGTATAATATAGTATACTGCAATACTAGTCGCGGCTACCAGCCGAGGTTATTTTTAACTGTAATACAATACTACAATGCAATACAGCTATCAGCTCGGCCTGTCTGTAATATACTATACTACAAAACATCATGGCTACCAGTCAGGGATATTTAACTGTAACACAATACTACAATGCAATATGGCTATCACCCGCATGCCTGTCTGTAGTATACTATGGTTGATAGTCATGCCTGTCTGTAGTATAATGTATACTACGGTTGATAGTCGTATTGCTGGCTCATAGCTGTGATGTATTGTAGTATACTATAATATACTACCGACAGGCTCGGCTGGCAGTCGTATTGCATTGTAGTATTGTATTACATCTATGCCGTGATGTATTGTAAGTATTGTATTAAAGAGTAGATACGGCTCAGCTGCTACTGTACCCTTGGCCATGTACAATCATAAATCACGCTGGTACCTGTTCTGATGGGTCCAGATTTCCTGGCCTAGGCCAGGCTGAAGTGCGTTTACACTACAAAAATCTAGTCCAAAGCTAGGCCTAGGCCAGGCTTAGGCTCGTAGTGTAAACACGGCTTTATACAGCCTAACAAAATCTAGTACAGTTTTCCTCCAGGCTGTTGTGGTATATCAATCAATATCATTTGGTTTACTTTTTCAACATACCAATATCACAACATCACAGTATGATGCAGTTAAAACAGGATAATACAGACAGCACTAATACTCAAAAACCGTGTTGTACAGTTGAACCAGCGTGGTTGAGATGCATGCAAAATTCAAACAGGGCCTACAAACACAGGCTACCAATTTTTTAAATGACAATATGAATGACATGTAACATATATGGTTACATACATCTGATATTATTCAGGAATCAAAGGATGAGATACACTATCATTGCGATAATAGTATTTGGGGTGAAACAGCGAAGGGACGGAACGATCTGGAATTGTTTCACAGTAGTGGCAAATATTATTAAACACTACAATCAAGTGAATCAAACGAGTATAAATGATCAAATATTGCAACTCTCATAATCCGAACAAAATCAAATTTCCTGCGAAACTAATTTGAGTATTGAAATTTCAACTATTTAATCCATTTTCATCATAGATAAAGGATATAAATAAAAGTAAGAAACCAGGATATTTTTATATTATTGCACGAATTCACGTGTTCGAAATATACACATGCATCCGAGATACTCAAATCAAAAGTTATTGCAGCAAATAAGTAAAACCTTTTACATAAACATTAAAAATTACCTCTTATCCATGTCGGTGGCTTATTTCCAAATTTATATTTCCCAAAAGTCGTTTAATTTAGATTTCAAGTCTGTCAAAATGTCTGGCTTCGGAATATATCCTGAAATTTGCTCAAATTTATAATAGATGAATGTTTTCCCGCTTTTAATTTCACATCCGTCAAAATGTGTAGTCACCATTCCAATACCGACGCGGCCAAAATTGTCGCGAGGAATGCAGACAGACAAAATGACAAATGTTAATTTTATAATACAAGATTATACACTTTCTCATTTTTAATACTGCTTTACCAGTATGTGCCGCAGACTGTGTCACACTAAAGAGTTTAAAAGTTATGTTTTTGAAGAGGGGATGTGGAAACTTTGACGTAAGTTTGTGCGATATATATTCGATAATTTGCGTAAAAACTGCTATAGAGTTGACACAAGAGTGAAGCACATTTGGCAAAAAAGCTGGTGGCTCGCATGTTTTGAAGTAAATATAAAAGTGATCGGTAAAAGCACATTTTAATAGACCATTTGCCCCTTCAAATAAAACTCTGTAAGGTAGGAAGCTAGATTGTTTTGTATTTTTGACTGCTTGATTTTTACTAACAGGTAGTTGAAAATCACAATTTTTTAGCTGACATGTTGCCAACATGGCAACATGTCTCAAGAGGCATGGCTTCATTTTGATATAAATATCGACTATAAAGTACTGGGCCGTTGACTTTTTCTAGGACACATATTTTTGGTTGTGGGCCTGTGGCCATATATGTTTATAAAACACTTGTAAAAATTAGCTTTTGGCTGGTGTGTGTCCATGTATATGGTTTTGTTATATACTAGTATCCTGGCAATCCTGCCATCAAAATAAAGTAAAGATCTCTTAAAAACAAAGCCTTTTTGTATGCAGACTCTTCTAGACATTGAAATTATGGGCAGATCTGTTATGTGAACAGCTCCATCAATAAAAGTTTCTTGGTGAAGTAAAATAGAATAAAAGGCTGATAAATCATTCATTATGAATGTGACGGATACCGTTTGGCCGAATACCAGATCATACCAGGTACTGGTCTACTGGCCGGGTACTACTTAGGAGCAAGGGTCACTTTACTAACAAGCCTCTCATGGTCCAGTGAGACCCAATTACATCACAGATCATGACTGTAAAATGTAGGGAGCCATGGAGTATTATTAATGCCATAGCATATAAGAGGCTCCAAATTCAAAACTTAGTTGAATTAAAAATTTATGAGTTATATGGTAACTATAAGTATCATGTGAAGGACTGAAGGTAGTAGATTTCCTATATACACCTAGATTCAGTTACTGGCTGACAACTTAAAAAATGTTGAGCTGGTTATCTAAGCCTAGAGTTTATGTCTGATATGTCTGTGTCGGCATAGGCTAAGCTCCATTTTTAAAGATTGGCTACCTCGACAAAATACAATCTTCAGCTATAGGGCAGGCTTTAATAAACATCCACCCAATCTCGTTCCCCGAGCATGCCCGTTTGCAGGTTAAGGGTGGGCATAGCTCTGGAGAAATCGAATTGATTCACGTTGAATTTCCAATGTGAGTTCTACGCATGCTCGGCAATGTTGCAAAATATAGATAAAGTATTTAGAATTTTGCGTCGAAAATTTGATACATTTTACACTGAAATCGAATTGAAAACAACTTAAAAATTCTGGGGGAAATATGTACGAAAGCTTCGGCAGGATAGGGATACAGCTACCTGAAAAATACAAGGAGAACTTCGACGTTTCGAGCGAAGATGCTTCGATCTGTACTGTTAGTGTTTGTATACATCGTACTTGACCTTTGCTGATAAATATATTAATCTCCTCAATAATAAGTATTATATATTTTGATGCTTCAAAATTTACATTTAACTCTTCTGTCAGAATTTATGGTATACGTAGTGTTAGGTATGACAGTATATAAAAGGTCAAGTACGATGTATACAAACACTAACAGCACAAGTTGAAGCGCCTTCGCTCGAAACGTCGAAGATCTCCTTGTATTTTTCAGGTAGTTGTATCTCTATCAATCCGAAGCTTTCGTACATATTTCCTCCAGAATTTCTAGTTGTTTTCAATCGATTTCGGTGTAAAAAGTATCAAATTTTCGACGAGAAATTCCAAATACTTTGTTTATATAGATCTGATGTTGGAAATCCAACGTACTATCTGCCGTTAGCCAATCACAGGCCTGAATCAATTTGATTTCTCCAGAGCTATGCCCACCCTTAACCTGCGAACGGGCATGCTCGGGGAACGAGATTGATATCCACCCATCTAATACCCATACAATTGGGCATGTGATGTTGGGGAGAAATAAACACTGCAGTGTTCTGGACTCCCTATTCAGCAGACACTGTTGAAGGAAGTGTATTAAGTTGACAAGAGTGTTAATATGATTATCTTACAGTACCAAACACTCCTGGATGATTTTGTACATCTTGGGCCTTGCAGTATTTTGCCCCTCTGCCCAGACTTGGCTTCATGTGATTTCAATGTCTGAAGGAGTCTGCAAACAAACGACTTTGCATTTAACAGATATTTACTAATTTTACTTTTTTGTTGGCAGGATAATAGTAGTTTTGTTTGTGGAAACACCACGTAAATTTATTACTGCAAAGCTTTCGATCCGTAAGCCCAGATCTTAATCAGTGGTAATAATATTATTCATAATATTATTCATATTATTAGCACTGATGAAGATCCGGGCTTACGGATCAAAAACTTTGCAGTAATAAATTTACGTGGTGTTTCCACAAACAAAACTATTATATTTTTCGCCATGCAAACATACAAAGAACTTATAATATATATTTGTTGACCTGCACGGAAGCACATAAACAAAGATTCTGACTTAAAGGACATTGGCAAGAAAATATTAGTTCCATTTATTTGAAAGAACTCTTTTGAAAGACGGAAATTTTAATTAAAATATATTACCACAATTTGTTTATATCTTCCTTAGTTGTCAAAATATTTCGACAGAAAAAAGTGAGATGTTCGCCATCTTCCATTATTGAGCATATTATGCATGTTACGTCAAGAGAGGGGTCATGGTAAATTTTCATGTTGAGAGTAAGCAATCAATATGAGTCCAATAGTTTGCTTCTGGTTACTGTCTGAAAATTGGAAATGGTTGAAAATTTTTCAAACAATTTTGGATTGTAACAACTCCTGAAGTCACCAAAACAACAGTTAATAAGGTCAAGAATTAGTCCAAGATGACAGACAGCTCATTAATTTCTAAATATTTCGAGAATGAAGCAAGATATGATGTATCGTTAATAGAAATTAATATATAATTTTAAGAATTCTATTGAATGAGACAAACAACTTTGTTATTGCCAATGTCCTTTAACTCATGCCTGTCAGATGTTGGGATCATAGGTAGCGGTGCTACCTGCAAGTGCCTTAGGCTAACTGCAATTAGCATTAAGGTCAGAAGGTCTTATGCATGCTTACAGTCGTGCCAATGGAAGCATTCCGAGAAATGTTGACCACTTCATTTCATAAATTTGAGGAGTTGATCTGAACAATTCCTCAACAATTTGATAAGTTCCTTAAAAAGTTGCTAACTTCCTGTTTCATTGACCAATCAGATTGCTCAAAAATAAAATATAAAATTTGATTGCTCAATGAAACAGGAAGTTAGGAAGTTTTTAAGGAACTTATAAAATTGTTGAGGAATTGTTCAGAGGTGTCCCTTCAAGTTAGGAGATGAAGTGGTCAACATTTTTCGGAACGGTTCTATTGGCACGACTGTAAGCATGCATAAGACCTTCTGACCAAGGATTACAGTTAGCTTCAGGCACTTGCAGGTGGTGCCGCTACCTAGGATCCCAACATCTGACAATAGACTGACAGGCATGGGTAGTTGATAGTTGACCAGCATCTAAGGACGAAAGCGTACTTATATTCATTTATGCAATGTTATTTAGTCAAAATCTAAGATCTGATTGGTTATGTTAGTGAATATATGATAATAGTTGAACAGGACGAAAGTGGACTTATAGCCTCATTAATATCATTTTGGAGGCATAAACAAAATCTAATGATTCCTTTAATGGTTGCCGCTTTTGGATTTGCATGCTTTGGCAAAAAAACGTGGTTATTATTGGTTGTGACTGAATGGGACTAAATCCTGAATAAATTGAATGTCGATACATGAATGTCTTTTCTCCATCATGTTAATTAAAGGAGATCTTTCAAACTTATAGCTATATCGATCGTAGTGAATAGTTATACTCATATACGCAAATATTTCTCGTGGTAACATTCGAAAAGAAGATGGGTTCCCCACGCTCTTCTTAGACACCAAAAGGAAGTGTGACGAATAAGAATGAATGACGTCTTCGTGCATACAGCTTATTAGTTCATGTTTTGCAGACCTCGATCATATCGTAACTCCGTAACATATCGTAAATCCGTAATATTCTTTACATGAATAGGGCAATGTACAATGAAGTGGAATTTTCACTGATATATCTGAATCATTTGCATTTAATAATTGCTTTACTGGCTATAATACTGTCATTAGATAGGAGTTTTTGCACTTAGACAGCAGTTGTGTTTTGGTCATTTTCTGTTCGGTTGCAAATGCACGCAATTTACCTTGATGTAGTCGCTCATTAGACTATGACAGGCTACCAATGAGGGTATAACTCTTCAAAAGATGCATGTAAAGTTGTGTTTCCCCCATGTATAACACTTGGTGAAACCCACCTATAATGCCCCCCTCCCCCCCATAATAAGAGATTGTAAATTTGGCGACATAAGGTTATAAACAGACACGACCTACCGACGGCAAACACAATCCGGTACTGTTTCAAGTAATCATATATTTGCTATGTATCGTTATATACTCCGGCAAGATACTCGCCTTCTGTGCGCCTATATATAACACCGGACCAGGAATGGAATTTTCAGAGGCAAGCAATAAATTGCTTTTCGTCAATATCATGATAACAAATAATCTGCATACGTAAGTTGCTTCACAGGTCGCTTTAGGTTGCGTTCGCATATATTCACCAACATAACCAATTAGATATTGGATTTTGTCGAAAGAACGTTGCATAAATGAATGTAAGTCCGCTTTCGTCATTAGATGCATGTCAACTAATAGTTAACCTGCACAGTAGCACGAGAAGGAACGAATATGCATGTATGTAAATGTTTTTGGTCAAAAGCTGAAATGTGATTGTTTTGCATAATTAATCTCGTACGCTTTGGACGAGTAAAGAGGAGAGCAAACGAATATGTAGTTAATTAATAAACAAGAGTTAATTTGCATGATCATGAGTCGTGACAATTTATTTAGAAATTGAAAAGCACAAAGGGAAACAAACATATAAGGTTAGGTCAAGACATACCATGTAGTTATGTATGGCGTCAGATATCCGGCAGTATTCATGTTGATCTTAATTCAACATGTATCCGTCATTGAAGTGAATTTCGGCATTGAACATATCAAATTCAGCATGCCACTTTAATCCAACGTTGCTTCAATTTCAACATGTTGATGTTACATGTAATTTGAATTTTGAATTTAGAACATGTCAAATTGAAGTGGAATACAACATTGAAGTATAGATAATGGCCGTTTTTTAATATACTAGAGACGTATTATGCGTATGGACGCATAATCCGTCTTCTATATTATTCGACTAGTATAAAGACGGGACGACGAATAATCCGACGAACTATCAGCATTTATTGTTCGTTTGGTTATGCGTCATCAGTATAAAGACGGGCACAAGACGCATTATGCGTCTAGACGAACTATCATCGGTTGTGCGTCTCTTAAGACGAAGAATCGAACATAGTTCGTCTAGACGCATAATGCGTATTGTGCCCGTCTTTATGCTGTGAGGACGCATAACCAGACGAACAACAAATGCTTGCCCAAGTTCGTACAGACGCATAATGCGTCTCCAGTATAGAAGCGGCCATTGAAGTAATTTTCAATGTTGAAGTTTCAAAACAGGTTGAAAACGCATCACTACATGAATTTGATAAAGTGAGTTTTGGCGGTTATATAGCACATCGTTAAATATCCGCCAATATTAATTAACGCTTCGTTAAACTTCCTCCATGGCACTCGCCTGGGACTTGATTCCTATATGGCGGCTACGAACGAGCGGAATGATGAAAATCATGAAATAAAGTTGGTGCACTGAACATTATTGAGGATGTAATATCACGATTAGTCAGACTTGGTGATTTGACGGTTTAAAGAGGTATCTTGTAAATATTAGAATCGACCACATCATGCACTTTGGAATTGCTGGACATGGTTTGCCAAAATTTAAACCAATTTGAGCAGCGGCAACGCTATTCCGCCATGAATACTGTAACTCTGCATTTCCAGCACAAGTTTATGCCGCAGAAAACCTTCATATGATGTACACGAGGGGCAATAGAATTTTGCCAAACGAGGGGCAACTGAAATTTGGCACGAGTATGTCATGTACGAAAGTTATGCCCATCCTTGCAACACTGTATATATACTGCATATAGTTTTATACAGAACTACAGTATAGAATGAGAACGGGAATGGCTAGGTATTCACGTCTTTCATCTGCACTTCATTTTTTACCGTTTGTAGAAAAAGGTTAGCTTAGTATTGCAATATGCTGAGCAGACAATAAAAAGGCAGTGGCAATAAGTCCAGGAACTTTGCATTTTGGATTAATTAATCAAAATTTGAATTTTATTGAAAAATAAAATTTGCAGACCTGTTTTCGTTTTTAAGGTAGGCAAATGACTTTTGACCTGATTGTTCGCCAGTTCAGAGGTATGTGTCTATAATTTTTTCAATAACACCAATTCCCCACACAAGGAAGTTGTGATTTCAATAAGAATTGATATACATGTATGCATTACATTCACATGAGATTCCCTAGGTTTGTCGAATTGGGCTTAACATATATAGTGGTGCATAACCACTGTACCGGCCGTATAGGATGGGCATAACTTTCGTACCTGACAAACTGGTGCCAAATGATCTCATTTGCAGCTCCAAAGTTATTTTGCGTACACCCATCATATTGCTTACTTCGCTAACTTTGCCGAAATATTGTTCCAATAAAAAATTATATTTCCCCTCGTGTATATCATATACGATCGTTTTCCACTGCATACTGTGTAAGCTTGTGCTGGAAATGCAGAGTTATTCATGCGGAATAGCGATGCCGCATGATGAAATTGTAAAATTTTGGCAAACTGTCCAGCAATTCCAAAGTGCATGATGTCGTCGACTCTAATATTTAGAAGATATCTCTTTAAAACGTCGAATCGTATTGCCGTTCCCCTCTACATAATCTGGGTCACAAAGGCTGCCTAATCGCGATATTATATACCAACTATTTCATCATTCCGCTCGTTCGTAACCGCCATATAGGAATCAAGCCCCGGGCGAGTGCATGCAAGGGGAAAGTTTAACGAAGCGTTACAGGTAAACTACGTGAAGCGTTCCTCTTTTGAGTTCCTAACTTGATTGCAATTTTCCTCATTACCTTAGCAAATTTGAAAAATTATCTTGCAAATCCCTTGAGGGAATTTGCAATGTTCTTACTATAAGAGCCAAATAATTTTTCCTCAGTTCCTGTTACAAGTTCCTAAACTTCCTGTTCTGTTCTGCGCGTTGTAATTGGCTAACAAAAATAATACGCCAATGATAACGCTCAGAACAGAACAGAACAGGAAGTCAGGAAATGGAAGCAGGAAGTTGGGAAAATTTGAAAGGAACTTTCTTTGCGTTGGAATATTGCAAGGCCGACAGGAAAATTGCAAATTCCCTCAAGGATTTGCAAAGAGTTTTTCAAATTTGCAAAGTTGATTATGAAAATTCCAAATGAGTTAGGAACTCAAAAGAGGAACGCTTCACGTAGTTTACATGTCATTAATAATGGCGGAAATTTAACGCGATGCAATATAACCGCCAATATTCACTTATCAAATAAATGTAGTGATGCGTTTTCAACCTGTTTTGAAACTTCAACATTGAAAATTACTTCAATATCTATACTTAAATGTTGTATTTCACTTAAAATTGACATGTTCAATATTCAAATTACATGTACTGCGAATTCAGGTAGACCGTTTAATGCGAATAGTTGTCGCGTTAGTTTTAACAGTTGTACGATGACGTTTCTAGGCAGATTTTCGACGTTTCTAAGGCGTGGCTTCAACGTTTATTTTTAAAATTGAACGTTGTAATTACAAGGTAATTGCTAAATAGTATACTTCAAGATAAGGTTTCCGTTTTTATAACGTAGAAAAAATCATCCTAACGCAAAACTAAACTCTAACCTAACCCTAACTTATTTAAAAAATTGATATAAAAACGGAAACCTTATTTTGAAGTATACTATCTGGCAATTACCTTGTAATTACAACGTTCAAATTTTAAAAATAAACGTTGAAGCCACGCCTTAGAAACGTCGAAAATCTGCCTAGAAACGTCATCGTACAACTGTTAAAACTAACGGGACAACTATTCGCATTAAACGGTCTACCTGAATCCGCAGTAACATCAACATGTTGAAATTGAAGCAACGTTGGATGAAAGTGGCATGCTGAATTTGATATGTTCAATGTCGAAATTCACTTCAATGACGGAAACATGTTGAATTAATATCAACATAAATATTGGCGGAAATCTGACGCCATAGTTATTTGTACTAAATAAATTGACACCATTGCAATAATACGCATGCGTATAGCATTGTTAAGAACTAAAAACTGAAGCATGGCTCCGAGACGAGCAGACGCATCAATTAATAAATCAACAATATAGACGAAATGGTCCAGTTTGGGATATTGTTATAAATGACATCGCGCGAGATGAACTGCATGATAATATATTGTGTTAATACAGCTCTTTCCGATCTTGCTGTTACAGTCGTGCCAATAAGAAGCGTTCCGAAAAATATTGACTAAAGCCCCGTTTACACGAGCAAATTTTATTTGACAAATTTCATATGACAAATGCATTTGATCGAAAGCTAGCATGCTAGCTTTTGTTCAAATGCATTTGTCACAATAAATTTGTCACAAATGCATCATCCACACGAGCAAAATGTCTTTGACATATGAAATTTGTCAAATAAAATTTGCTCATGTAAATGGGGCTTTATTCATTTCCTAACTTGAATGAACACCTCGGAACAATTGCTCAACAATTTGAGAAGTTCCTTAAAAAGTTTCTAACTTCCTGTTTCATTGACCAATCAGATTGCTCAAAAATAAAATATAAAATTTGATTGGTAACTTTTTAAGGAACTTATCAAATTGTTGAGGAATTGTTCAGAGGTGTTCATTCAAGTTAGGAAATGAATTGGTTAACATTTTTCGGAACGCTTCTATTCTAGTTTCCACTCAGGAAAATTATTCGTGGATTGGAACGGACAAGAAAATTTTTCATTGTATTAAAGTCATTAGTGCCAACCCAGAGCTCACAAGATAAAGAAAAATTTTATTATCCGTTCCAATATACGGATAATTTTCCTGAGTGGAAACTAACATGTTAAAAGCAGGAAAAAAAGCAGCACAGCGGTGCATGGCAAGTGATGAGTATTAAGCGTCTTTCTGTCAATACTCAATGACATTGATCGAATTGAAGACATTACTTAGCTGCATAAAATTGACGAGAGATTCCTACTTCCATTTGGTTAGCCATCCATATACAGTGTGTCTAAAAAAAAGTGAACGTTTTCAAATTCAAATTACCTATAACGTATTGTAGTAATTTGACAGATCTAATTACTTTGAATTAATGGTTGGTTAAGAACACAAGGTCTTGTACTCATGGGACAAAACTCGTAAAAACTTTTAAATTTTATAATTTTTATTTCTGTGAGTTTTGTTTGAATTTATTTTCTAAACTCAAGTATACGACATGCATAAATTTAAATTGAACTATTTAATTTAACAACACCTATCAATTGTGAGTTTTGAGTGCACTACCCACAAAACGTTAAGTTATTTGAAAAGATTGACCGAATACTTGCAATGCATGCCTGTATAATTTGTTAGCTACTTCCTTAGTGTTGTTGCCGATGCATGTAGGGAAAAACGAAGTCTACCTGAATATTGTAGAGTATATAGAAACTAGTTTTGAATCGGAAATTAATATATTTGGCGCAGAATTGTTTACAAAGCTGAACTTAATTATACAAGTTATAGGCATGTTTCAAAGTTGGAACACGGGAAACGCGACGATTGCACCAGTCCTGGTTTGCAATAAGTTTTTCTGGAATTTTCACAGGCTGTCACATAGGCGTATGCTGAAATGCACAAGCGGATCTCTTGCTAACTTGTTTATAGATTATAATTTGTTTTCCGCGCCGCTGTAAAAACAGTACTAAACAGCAATGTATGTGATTTATTGCTGTTAGTATTGACTGCATTAATTCTGACCCTGGCACCGCTGCCATCAACCGCTGCCATCACGGTCAATATGGCTTGATATATTTAATAATATAAACAACGAACGAACGTTTACGAGTATTATAAAGAGTTTATCTCATAGCAAATAGAAAATGTCCATCATACGAATGAGTACGACTCTGTAGTTCAGTTAATGAGGCTATTCGTTCGTTCTTGTGCTACGGTTAACTAATAGCAAGGTTTCTCATGAAATTTGGATAAAACAAGCACTCGTGAGCTTTTCAAAGACCTCAAATAGCACTCGTCCTTCGGACTAATGATATTTGAAAAAGAACTCGTGCATGCATATTTTATCCAAATTCTATAACTTATCTAATACTTAGTGTTTCCCTATTGGTTACGAGGAGGTGCGTTCAAACTCGAACCCACCTGTGGTTCGAGATAGATGTTTTGGTGGCGGCCATTATGAAGCGATTTGAACAAATTTCCGACGAAGATGTAAATTAAAAATAAATTAAGTATTTTTAATTGTTTTATAATTATTATTTTTTTATTTAGTTTGATGAAAATGGAATATTAATTCTGTATTAAAAGTGGAAGAGAAGAAAGTTGGCCGCAGAAAATTGTTCGGTACGGGCAGGTTTGTATAAATCTTGGCAATGTTTTCGCAAAATGTGTGCATTTTCTCTTTTCAAGAATAAGGTAGCCTGTGTACAGCCGTTAGTCTCAACGAAGCGCGCGAGAGAACGTGTGTGAGTTGGATGCATTATCCGTGTTCAGGTCACGTGGATAGTTCCCAGATTTGGGGACCGGCCTCTGATTGGACAGTGCTTTATTAGAATAATTTATGACAAATGAAGCTATTTCATTGGTTAATTGATAATTAGCATGAGTTTAAAATAACAACACAAAAGTTTTAAAATTCCAGATCAAGAATCAAGATTTCATTCGCGGCATACAAAGGTTTGAAAGCTTGAAATACAATCTGTTGAGTTTAATTTTGTGCTGTATCGAAGTTTTAAGAAAACCAAGATAAAATTGTAGTGTTTGGATACTCAGCGAACAATGCTGACAAATATATAAAATACAACAAACTATCGGACGGAAATTGACAATTTATAATTGACAATCTGTTTATATGTCCCGACCCCTCGCGATAAAGCGTTTTCTTTACATGTAATGTGTTTAATTTAAGTTTGTCTTACTTGGCCAGATAAATTTTAATTACTTTAAAATGCACCTCTTGAATAACCAGTTGTGTTTATATTTAATTCTTTGTCTTTATAAACAAATATACGCCATATGTGTACGCCAAGAACTGAGCTTGTACACCGGACTTGCCGGCAATGATCATCGTTCAGCATTGTTCCCACTCAAAACAAATCTCTTCATCAAGAAATATATACAATATATACAATATATTTCTGGTGTATCGTTTTTCAGATTGTATTTCAAGTCTTTCAAACCTTTGTATGCCGCGAAGGAAAACCTCAAACCTGATTCTTGATCTGGAATTTTAAAATGTTTGTGTTGCTATTTTAAACGCATGCTAATTATCAATTAACCAATGAAATAGCTTCATTTGTCATAAATTATTCAAATAAAGCACTGTACAATCAGAGGCCGGTCCCCAAATCTGGAAATTATCCACGTGACCTGAACAAGGATTACGCATCCAATTCCATACGTTCTCTCGCGCGCTTCGTCGAGAGTAGCGGCTGTACACAGGCTAGAATAACGGAATATTGTAGAGAAACGTTGTAGCTTAAATTTAAGTATAAGTTTGTTTGTTTTCGTAGTTTGTTGGCGGCTAAAATTTTCCATTATTTTTGAAAAGAGAAAACGCACACATTATGCGAAAACATTGTCAAGATTCATATAAACATGCCTGTGCCCAACAAATTTAGGGAAAAAACGTAGTTATTATTATTTTTTAATTATTTATATTAGGAAATAACAAGAAAGTCGATAGTAAACTGGATTTGTTTTCGCGAGAAATCATGCGAAAGTGAAGCCATCCCTCTTGGGAAATGTTGACAACATGTCGGATAAAAAAATTGGCGAAAATTGTGATTTTCTACTCCCGGCCTGTAAGTGGAAATCATGCAAGTAGTAAAAAATACGTAAAAACAATAAATCTAGCGTCATTGATTGCAGAGCTTTATTTTAACGGTCTAATATGCTCTTACCGATCACCTTATTTACTTTTACTTTTCTATTCAATTTAATTTTTTTCGCCAAATGTGCTTCACTATTATTGTGGCAAATCGATAGCATTATTTGTACGAACTGTCGAATATATTTCGCACAAGTTTATGTCAAATCTTGTCATCCCTCTTATATATTTATAATTTAAGGGGGAAATATTACATTGAGGGAAATATTACGCCGAATCCCCCGAGCGGAGGGTTTATAAATGATATATTATACCGAAAGTTAAAGAACCCACCAAGTTCAGAATAAAGTTTAAAAATTGAAGGGAATAAAATTTTTAATTTTTTTATTTGTGTAACTGAATTTTTGACGTTTTATCTTTAAAATATTTGAGTATGTATCCTTTGGATCGATGAAGGTAACATACGTATTGAAATTCTTTGATTAACTTAAGTCAATATATCCGTACGAAATTACAAACAAAAAGTTAAAAACAACAGCTCGCGAACGCCATATTGTTTCAGAGCGTAGTGTACACGCGTCACGCGTGAGCGTGGGATACTATAATATCCCACGGTGGATATGCCGTGGGATATTATAGTATCTCACGCTGCATTACGAAAATCATGAATTTTAGTGAAATAACGTAAAAGATCACATTATCACGTGGTACAAATGCTGTTTTTTCATTGGACAATTTGAGTTTTAAGTGTAATATTTAAATATATTAGTTCTAAACCAGTTTTTAGTACGAAACGTAAAGTAGAAAAATTTAGAAATATGACCATTGCATCGCTTCAAATGTTACTTATCCCAATTGGTAGGGCATATTTTCTCCCAATTGAGCAGAGAAGCGACACATAAGGCGTGGGGCGGAAAAGCGCACAATTTTGCCAAAATTGTGGAGTTAGTGAGGAAAGCACCATATTGACAGTATGTAAACTTTGACACAAGTATGAATATCAGATATAGAGGCATCTGTGAAATTAAGGCTGATAGCTAAAAAGTTTGAATTTCTGATATTTGAGTAGAAGGTAGCTGACAGAAAAATCAGTTGTATGGTTGGAAAAGTACCAAAACTAAACTGTATTTAAAACATTAGAGCAGTTTTTGATTTGCCAAGTCGTTTTTAATTTAATTAGTTTGGAACAAAATAGATAAAAATTAGGTACGCGATGCATACATGTAACTGAGAAAAACTTGATTCACATTTTGTATTTCCTCGAAGGGAAATGAGTAATGAACATGATTTATATAATAACTACAGTGAAACACACACTTTGATTGGTCAACAGCCGTGCAGGATCAGGCTATCCTGCACGAGGAATTAAAATGCCTTCGCTGGATTTTCGCGGGATTCTCAGAATGTAATTGTTTCACTGTAGTTGTTTTATAAAACAATTACCAAATGGTTTTCCGTGCAGGATTGCGTGATGCATGCACTTGGGATGTTGCTCGACTTTCGGAAAGCGTAAAAATACACTCGCCTGCGGCTCGAGTATTTTTACGCTTTCCGAAAGTCTCGCGACATCCCTCGTGCATGGATCACGCAATCCTGCACGGAAAACCATTCGGTATTCCTTTAATGGGATATCATCATCACTTATTATAATATAATAGCAAATAAGATTTTAACGTCAAACATAATACGCATCTAACAGGGATGTACAAGGTGCGGAGGACGGCAGGGCCAACTGTTCCCAAACCACCCCCACCCCCAAGTACTGCCAATAAAATGTAAATAATTTTATAATGTGGTTATAATTGTAGCTGATAATTATGAAGTCAGGAAATAAAACTTTCATGCAAGCAATATTCAAAGTGTCTATATACAGCAGGCTATTTTGTAAACTGTCACTTGTCAATATCCATAATAAAATTTTGAAAATTTATTTGTAATATGAAGCTCGAAATAGCGTGCTGCCAATGGCCAAAAGCAAGCCATATTTTAAAAACTAGGTACGCATTGGTGTACATGTGGGTAGCGTACTCGTATATGTGGTAAGCATTCACAGGCGTAGGTTCATACTGGGGGGGGGGGGCACTGTGGGTACATCACCCATTCCCAAATTAGCCCCATAACCTCTTGATCCGAAATTGATAAGAAACTAACAACTAAAGCAATTTATACTGTCCAGTAATTATTACATTAACTATAAAAACATTTTATGGACTATTATCATTTATAGACCTGGAGCGAGGGGGATTCGGCGAAATATTACCCGAAGTGATGATATTTCCCGAGGGGCTTTGCCCCGAGGGAAATATCATCACTGAGGGTAATATTTCGCCGAATCCCCCGAGCGGAAGGTCTATAAATATATGTACCGTTTTATTTAATAAATTTTAACTTTGATTTTTTCGGCTTAGACAAAGTTTATTTTTAAAATTACTTCGCTTTTTAAGCCATTTACAACATTTCGCGTCCGTGTTGTATCGGATATACCGATACAACACGGCCGCTCATGTTGTAAATTGTACTTATAATTGTATACGTGTTTGTATATTTTACAAACACAAGACTGCTTCTTGCCAAAATTGAGAAAATATATATTAATGTAGTTGTGTATAAGACAAAATGTCATGAAAGATTCCATTTTTAGTATATATTTTGACTTATTTTGTGCTTTCGCTACACCTTGTCAACATAGTAATAATGTTGCTTCAAAATTTATGATAAAAAACCCGATTTTCTAGACTTGTATACAAATAAAAATAGTAAGTTTATACTATAAATGAGTTTATTTTATCTGTATCGGTTTAAATTCGCCGTTAAGTTTCAAATAATTCTGTTTGAGAACGCAATAATTGGGCATTTCGCAACCAGGGCAGTTGCAGGGCAGTTTTGGAGTTGTTGTTGGGAAATGCACTAGGCCTTCTATTTTTTCGCTTGCGTCCCTCCGCCCCGCCCCGAAATCACCTAGTTCCAGTCTTTTCATGTGAAAAATCGCTGAATATTAAAAAATATATAAATAAAAATAGAAGGCGTAGGTCGAGGATGGGCTCAACTATATGGTCTTGAATTATACTTTAAAGTGGAACAAATAAAAGACAACTATAAGGAATATTCGATACCTGCTCGGTAAAGTTTTTATTTGCCGATCGCGATAACCGGCGTCTTTACCACGTAGCAAATTAATAATAGATTTTCTCCATTCTGGTTTCAACTGAATTTCGAAGCCGAAATATTTGAAATATAAGAGTTCCCTTGAAAGCATTAACAGGCGGCATATTTTCGATACGCGAGCAAAATTATTGTTGACATTTGAGTTACGTAATTACTTCCGTTAACGAGATTGACCAATAGGAAGCTTTTCTAAAGATTCGGAGAAGAACAAATTAATCATAGGCATATGGGCAGGCGTTTATTTAACGACGTCTGTGTTCTCCTGCTGCATGCACTAAACGGCTGCTACGCAGGCCATCGCGACAGTGGCTTGCCTGATTCAACATCAGTGCAAACACAATTGGTTCGTTTAGTTTTCGCAAAATGGCGTCCGATCAAATATTTTGACCGCAGCTGACCAAAACAGCTTATTTTTACGAATATAAATCGAAAAATTCGATTTAAATGCACAACGTTTTATACTCAATGCGTCACTGTCAATATCCTGTTTTCAGTATTAAATGCAAGATGGTTGTTGCTTGTAATGTGTACCCCTGATGTGTTTTTAAACTGAACAAAAGGTCGATATAAATACATGTAGCATACTAGCCGTTGGCGCTGCTTTATAAAACGTATTTAATAGAAATACTAAACTTTTATATAGCTCGTAAAAAGCTAACAAACTAGAAAACATATAAGTTTCCGAACATAAGCCGAACATCTGACGTAAAGTTCCGAAAAGTAGTCATCTCTCACATCCAACTTTCAGCTATAACAAAGTGGGTAGGCCGCAAACGGGCTACCCACAAAAATGGTAGGCAAAAAAAACTGCCAAGTCCAAAAAGGAATGGCAGGTGAAATTCTACATATATATTTCATTTCATTTGCTTACCAATATACTCATATATAATACGTTAATCAATATATCGGTGATATATTTATTTTCAAATTTCCGCGAAATGCATTAACACTCATATAAATCTTATATGTTGCGACATTGGAATAAATCACGTAAAAAATAAATGTTTGTTATAAAAATAAACGTTTATTTTTGCATGTTCGAGGCGTCTGTTATTATATATTCCCAAATGGAGGGTTCCCAATAGAATTTAGGGTAGGAGGCGTTTAGAAAGACGCAAGCCGCTATGCTGGCTCCAAAGCAACACACTATAATGCGTGAAGATATGAAATGGAATTAGCAGAAATAATTTAAAGCACTTCTTTATTCGGGCATAATATTAGATGAATGAAGACAAAGTACTTACACTGTATGGCAGTTCCACTTGTGCAGAGACAACACATTTTGATGACTTCGTTTGGTTTATACCCAGGAGAGGAAGAACAAATTTGTTTATATAAAATTCAAATTACGTAATTAAGAATTATTGTATAAAGCTGGGAAGGATATCAGAAGTATTAAGACGAGAGGCGTAACTAGAGCGTTAATTGGGGTGTATTAATATATTCGTGTTCTGCCCGACGAATTTCTTTTGAATTTAAGTTCATTTCAAAAGAAATTAGTCGGGCAGAACATGAATATATGAATATACCCCCCCCCCCCAATTAATGCTTTAGTTACGCCACTGATTCAGACCGAGTTCAGAGTTATATATCGAAGCGAAGATGAGGCAGATAACGCTGACCGAGTTATGCGTAATTATGATACACGGCTAAAAACGCACAGGTTGTTACAAGTTGATATCGAGGGGGGGGGGACAATGTTGTGCTGCCAACTATGAACCAGTTGTTAAACATGTTGTTCCAAGTTGCTACAGTTGTACAATGCTGTAACAATATGTTGACAATACTGTTCATAGTGGGCCGCACAACCTTGTTCACGCCTGGTGATATCAACGTGGAACAAGTTTGTTGATTTTCTCAATTTTTACGCGTGTATTCTACGTAAGGCGAATGAAATAATCATTTTATTATTCACACTATTTTCTTGCAATTTTCAGAATATTTGTATTTAAATATTTTTTTAATTTGCTCTTTTGAAACCAAAGCAAAATGAGCAGAAGCAGATTTAAGAAATTTGCAGCTCTTTTCAAATAAATACAAAATACCTGCAAAAATTTGAGAGTACTTAATGAAGTACTAATATAAAAGACGAGCCAAGAGTGTTTTACCAAGCACGGACTGAGAGTGTTTTAAGTAGTACTTAACAAACCAGCCGAAGTCATTTTAAAATTCAACTTTGTCTAAGGCGATAAAAGTAATGC